CGTTTCGTCTAATAACGCTTATTACTTATCGCAAAGAGTAGCGGATTTGCCACTATTACTACTAGTCATACATTCAAAAGTTTCCAATCGTTATATGCGTAAATAATCTGCAAGTTCATTACATGGGTAAGTGCACAACCAAATTCTCCTAACCAGACAGAATACACACATTTGAAAATCACGTACATGAGGGAAGCGTGAGGAAATCTCATTTGTAAAAATAATATCGCTCATTTGCTTAATCACTCGTCATACCTCAAGGCCGTCCCCCACCTGCCAAGCGAAGAACCAACCATTCGTACTTTGACATTAACGTAACATAATTCACAGGGTCGTGACAGAATATCCCAGCGCTCTATGCCATTACATGCTTACTGGATCACCAAAGTGACCAAAGTGTGCGGAATATGACAAGCTTATATCAGCGCTCTATGCCATTACTTCACCGGGGAGAACAATGTTACAGAATGGGAAACTACTATACATCTAAGTATCTCAGCGCACTGCACAATTACCTATTTATTCGAAGTCGTTCTCAACCAATCCGCTAAAACAAGTGTTTGTACAGCACTTCATGTAACTAAAGACTATCTGAGAATGTTACGCTGTAATATTTGAAGTCACATTTTCATCAGTGTGATCGTAGTGTTTCAAAATCATTTAAGACCCAAAACTACGTGTTTTTACAATGCGAACTTTGAAATTCTGTCGAATCCCAAAACTTGCGAAACTTTGTACATGTATTAGAAAGATTCGCAGTCACTCGCAGCACCAACAATTCGGGTACGTTAGAATTAGATGATTTTGAGTATTTTTTTGACGAACTCGAAACTAAACTCGGGGTGATACTTCGTTGTTCAGGGTCGAGTGTTTTGACAGAATCCTGAGGTGCAGATGTTTTCTCTGGAGACTCGATTAACATATAGTTACAAGTTAACAAACTGACATATATAGTGCTATCTTTTCAACTAAGAGACGCATAAATCTCAGATTATTTCACAATATGATTTACATGTTTTTAAGGTTAAAATAACAGTGAATTGTTACATTTTGAAGAAGTCGAATAAATTTGAGATGTACACCATGACAAGAAAATTATTGGATTCACGCGAACCAATGGCATTCATATATGTGAATATTTAAGGATGTAATTTGTATATTTTATTGCACGATATAAATTTTACAAATGAATACATTACCCGAATATTGTTTTGAAAGAAATAACCGATGCGTTATATACATACCTGTATCGATAACTGTGCTTGCCAGCCATTATCTGCAGTCTGTACTGTGACGCGTACGCCGTGAGACACTTTCGTTGTTTAGCCATATATTTCCAAGTATTTCATTGCAAGGGCATACAAATTTAAAAATAGGTTTTATAATGTTTTGCATCTGATGAATATTTCATTGACAACTGCTGGTCCTGGGCATGTCTTAAAACCAAACTCATACCTAGTTATGATACTTCCAGATCTATGAGAGTAGTATAGCGACCTTTATTTATCCATTGAGTTCTCGTGTTTCTGCATGTATGTGTGCATTCATCAGCCAATCAGCACAAATGAACCAATTACAATGTTTTATTTATTGTATTGGTGATCTTGTTTCGGATTGTGAACTATTGTACACATGTATCTCAGGACGCATAATGTATGTGTGAATTTCGAATGATATCGATCGGTCCAGGCATGTTCGAGATACAGGTGGGGACACATATCTCAATCCTTTGATTTTGTACTCCATCCAAAGGAACACAAACTGACATATGTTAAGTCATAAAGAGAGTCTGAACAACACTTTAGACAACAAATACACAAATTAAAAAACAAACATTATAATACATGCTCAATGAGAGCAACACATAAGAACTTCTTTGAGATATCAGAAACTGACTAATAATGCCAAGACGTGATATCAGGCGAGAACACCTCGCTCCAACAAAATTATACAGATCTCTCTCCTAACAGTTCCCGTTAGAATCATGGTCTACAGACAAGGTAAAGGACAATATTCTCAATAATTTCAAGATCAGAATAGGTAGGAAATGGTTGTTGGATTCTTCGTCTCCCAGGCTTGCTTTTTCAAAACTGCATGGGGTCTCCATTAAGAAAAATAACCTAGGTACCACGTGAACGTGATGTGGCAGGGTTTTTCAACATTGCGAGCACCAGTTGTATACAGTTGCAACATGCAAGTGCCAGAGCTAAATTTGGACAAACCCTGAGATGTGAAGTTTGTAATAATCATTCAGAATTTGGAACTTTCAGTTGAGCCAGTCTAAAGTGCGATGGTGAGCCATAACTTTGCCATGTAACATCTCAGTATTATACTCATAATGTTAAACAGAACTGTGACTATTTACTCTCATCGCTATATGTTTAAAATAGCAAAACAACAACATTGCCAGCTATATTGCTGACTAGGTTGCTATACACGTCCCGAGATCGTTACACGATTAGAACCGGTTGGATCAAATATTTTTTCGAGATTGCGCTATCGGCTAATTGATATTTAATTGATTTTATTGTTCGATTTTAATTGTGTAATTAAATCAGTATAATACCCAGTATAATATTCATTATATTTCGAATAATCAAAAATGCAGTTGAGCTTGTTGAAATATTGTATAGTCTATCCATCTACAATAAGCTCAGGATTCGTTTTTAGTCAAATATTGAACAAACTAATATTATCTTTAGATTACGTATCCCGAAGCATGCATGTGCCAAGTTTCATTCATGGAAGTACAAATATATTTTTACCCACAGTACTATTTCACGTTCATGTTTCATTGAAATCTGATATATGACTCTCAAAATAATTAGGCACACATTTTTAGCCACACAGAATGTCAGTAAAATTAGATGATTGAATCTAGTAGACATTTACAAAATAGCACACTGACAGGTACCACTCAAGACTTTTGTGTATTTCGTACTTATATGATTGAAGTATCATGAAGGCGCATACTTCATATTATTTGCCCCCGACGGGAGGGGGCTTGTAGTTTCGCCTTCGCCATAACGTCCGGAGTGATTTCTCGGAGATGGCTAAACCGATTTTTTTGAAACTTGGTACAAAGACACAGTGGTCAACCACGCATGTGCACGTCAATTTATTTTCCGATTCGATCAAATATGGCCGACTGGGGGCCATTTTAATGCCGAAATTCAGTTCCTCGTGTGCCCATCGTCACTTCTCAGAGATGGCTTGACCGATTTTGTTGAGACTTGTTACAAAGACAAAGCGACCACCCATACAGATGTACGTTGTTTTATTTTTTTAAAGTGATAAAATATGGCCGATTTGTTAATCATGGTTTTTGTCTGCACATTGATATTTTTCAAAGATACCTTGACTGATTTCAATGATACTAGGTACAAAGACACAGTGAGGAGGTATACATATTCACATGGATTTATTTCCTGATTTGATCACATATGGCTGCCTGGCGGCCATTTGTCAAAATCAAGTTTTTTTGGGTGTGTCTATCATCATTTCTCTGAGATACCTGGCCCGATTTTGCTGAGACTTGGTACAAAGACAGAGTGACCACTGGTACAGATGCACATTGATTTAATTTTTCAAGGAATCAATTAATGAGCTAATTTGCATATTCAATTATTAATTTGAATTCTTAATATCTTGTGAACTAATAGTCCAAATCAGACCAAACTTGGTAGAGACTTGATTTGTCAATATAAGATATATGCTATGCAATATTCAGTTTCAATTTAATTAATGAGCTCATTTGCATATTTAATGAATTTTGGTTGATATCTAATAGTCCTAATGAGAACAATGTTGGTATAGACTTACTTGATCTGCCAATATGTAATCTGTGCTATGCTATATTGACTTTCAAACTTAATGAGAACTTGAATATTTAATTAATTTTGAATTTTTGTTTAATATATAGTTCATGTATTTGCTATTTAATATTGACTCAATTGAACTTCCATATTCAATTGATTGTGATTTTTTTAAAAATTGGTGCAAATTTGAGCAACAAACTTTAGATTTTCAACTTTTATACATTACACAATTCATAGCCAACTATAATCACATCTGACACATCTTAAGATGACTTGTTTATTCTTAATACTGTTTATCTACTTCTATCTTTTTTGCTTAATTTACTATTTCAGTCAAAAAAATCCTGGAAAACAGCAAAAAAAAAGTAGAACACAAAGAATAAGACAATGAAAATTAAATCAAAGAAAGCTTAGAAAACTCCTGTTTTTTTAATTAACAGAAAATCAACTACATGTATTATGCAAATTACACAATTAATATGCAATTCCAATCCCAAAATAATCAGTTCTGTGAATTACCTTGTACTAAGTTACTTTGAAATGCGATTAGTTTTTGAGATATTAAGAAAGCAATTAATATGCAAATTATGTAATAAACATGCAGATTTTAACATAAAACTTGCCAGGTCTTCACAACGTCCCTGAGCATCTATGCACCAAGTTTTTCTTGTAATGTTAGTCATTAGGCTAGGAGATGATGGTGGTGGAAATGCTGAAATTATGCATCTTTGGTAATAGGGATGGATTCAAACAAAAACTAATCTGGTATTGTTCCGACTATGTACTAAATTTTATTGAAATCCAACAAGCAGTTCCAGATATCTGTGCCTAAACATACATCGGATTTCAATTAGTTTGTTCATACAAGTGCCATTTAAGTAAATACACAAGTCTTGAAACTCTAGCTTTTGACATATTCAACCATACCATATAGGTACAACATTGAACAGATCATGATAGAAAAAACGAATGCCATAAGTTAAGAATCTTTATTTTTTATTGAAGTTCAATTGAACCAGTTTGATGCAAATACAAAATGTGTCTTTTTCCTGAATACATAATATATAACAAAACAAATGAAAACCACTAGGAAAAAATTTAATTCTGTTTTTCTTTAAAGTGGTACATTACAAAATCTAATCAAAATTGTGATATAAAACAGGCATGTGGAGGAGACATGTCGTCAATATGACTAATTAAAATACAGCTTTCCTCTGACAGGATTTGTCAACAAATTGGAACATGCCTTAATATAAGGTGGCTAGTTACACAAGTTCTGATTGGTTGCTGTTTGCTGCTTCAGTGAGCTCTGAGTGAAACTTGCCTCAGTCGTTAGAGGCAATGTCACAATTATTAAAATCAAGCAGCTCACTATGAAACCTATCTATCACAATTTGCCAGTTTATAAGGTCTTGTCATGTTACACAAGTAACAAGAAAATCTATACTGAAGGGACAAGAAATGCACTTTTTTTTTACAGTTATGAACAAAAATAAATTTAAAGTGAAGAGACACAACGAGTCAAGAAATATAGGCAGTGCTTCTCTGGCTGCAAATACAATGCATTAAAAAAACCCAGATATTGCAGTACAAAATCCTTTTAACTAATTGGAAACGTTTTTGGTAACTTAGCGTGCCTCTAGTTATAATAGAACAATACAAAAACTGTTAATAAAAATACAATGCAACATTACAAAAATGTTGTAAGCAAAACAACTTGCTATGTATTTCAGATAATTTAAAAAAAAAATTACTCATTGCAACTTTTTTAACTTAAAAAATTCTGTATATACAACCATACTCTTTTAAAATACACATTATGTATGCAATATTAAACAAGCAGGTCAAAATAAAGTGGTGGGTATGAATATTTCAGTTCCAATGTATATATAACTGTATATAAAGTAGTATTAATACTTTTTTATTGAACTCACTTATTCATCAGATACAAAGTAACATTTACTATTCTCTCCATACCGGTAACTAAAATATAAAAGAAAAGAACAATAAGAAGTTTCATACAGAGAGTGATATTATAGTTGTAGATGAGAAACTCTACAGCCAGCTATTTATGGATCCTAAGATGGGTTTACAGTAACAACGTATACGTCCCGGCATATTTTGATCATACCTAGAAAACAAACAGATGATGGTAGACAGTATAATGCATCATGATACAATCTGTGATTACTCAAAGATTTCTAATATATGCTCACATAAACCATAAATTGCATTGTTTGTCTTATTACTGTCATTACTAAAATTCTTGATGATTGTTGGATCTATTTCACCAACATCATTACATGTACCTGTCAGAGCAAATGTTATACATGTTTGGTAATAACTATCAACATTACAATATTGTTTGAATAATTGTGGTAGCGACAGAAAAATAAGACTTATTTTGATCAGTGATACACATGTCATTTAGATGATTTAGATTTGTCCAACTAATAAGAGTAAATATGACTCTCATAATTGTAAAATTACCGTACTTATCAGAGTAAGAGCCCATGCCGGGGGAAAACGCCCACCCCCCACTTTTGACACAATAAAGAAGTTGAGGTCATATTCAGGCACACGCCCAGGGGGTCTTTTTCTACACACAAAAAAACTATTTTCTATTCGTTGACTGTGGTTGTATTAACAGTTGACTTTCTTGAAGTCAGTCGTGATGCTTATAAACATTTTTTAAATTGTGTAAAACAAGGGGTGAACGCGAAATAGCTGTGACAGCAAAATAGGTATTTCGCTTTCTGCCTTCAGGGCAGCACGTTCACCGCTGATTTACATTTATTTTTCAAGATTTTCTTTTTTCAGAATCATAACAGTCAGCAAGTCTATAAAAATATATATTAAAGCAGAAACGGTAGTTCTCTTTTTAAAATATGTTGAGGCCCTAAAAAGGACCGGCTGTTTGGTTTGTGCTTCCTTAGAAACGATTCAAGCAAATCGTATAAAGAGAGCCACTAAGTATCGCACTCGTTTGGCTTTAGCGTTGTCGACAATGAAACCAATATTGTAGCAACTCGTACCTGGGAAAGTGGTTGAAATCACGTTATTTTGGCTTTATAAAATATTTGGTAGCAGCTTGCGAATCCATAACTGGGGCCAGCAATTTTGCAATATCACACCGAAGACTGCCAACTTTTTTACCATCTTTCATCACTGCTATTGCATTTCTGTCATGAAAACTATTCTTCTGTCATTTGATAAAAAAAAACACTTCCTATTTCAAGCCCATCGTGATACCAATATAGTGAGACATTCCAACCACCGGAACTTGCTAAATGATAACTCTCACCATGACTGATAAGCGTCGAGTCTGATAAGAAAGCAATGTCACGATTTGACCTTTATGATAAAATACTAGTAGTGATGTCATTCTTAGCCAATCAGTAAAGCAGATGCATAAAGGTCAAAGATGATTGCCAGACTGTAAACAAAAGCATCGTGTGCCATCGCAGCAGAGTGGCCCCATTTTTCTCGTCTCTGTATTGTGATTAGACATGAATGAAAAGTGCCAAGCTGACAGACTGCGAAATCCGTGGATTGAAAGTGCTAAGTCCAACTTGGACTTTGTGGGTTTAAGTTTGATGAAGATGGAAATGAATGTACAAATAAAGATCTGAGAAGTTTTTTCAAACAGCTATGAATTTTTACTGTGTAAATTTGTAAATTATTATTGATCTTGTATGACAGTTGATTAGTAATTTGTCGAGACCGGAAATCATTTTACGCAGTTTAAGCCCCGACATTATAATTCATTTTGAGTTCACGCTTATTGGGCGTGTTTGTCGGCGGGAAAATCCTAATTCAAATGATTCCTCACTGTCGATTTTTATTATTTCTGGTTTATTTGATACATTATAAGCAATACATTAGTTTTGTTTTACTTCTAATGTTGCATATTGTTCATTTATTTTTGTTGCATGTTTTCATTTGCCGTTCTATTCCCTGCCACAGTTCGATCTGCGTGTTGTAAATTTTCGTTCATTTTGCCGGGGATATCCTGGCAAACGCCCACCCCTATTTTTTGTCAATTTTCCATGTTCAGGACCCTGGGCTTTTTTATGTTGACCTTGCTTTATTTTAACTTATAATTTTTCACTCCTAGTATTTTTTCTTGACTCCTGTGCGTTTGTTGTAATTTGAGATTTATAAAACAGATTGGTACTGATGCCAAAAACAAATTTTTTTATGTCCATGGACAGATCACTTTTACATGTTCCTTTTAAAATAAAGTTGAATGCATTTGTTTCCACTTAGTTTTACATCTTAGCTCTGTTCATAATAGTGTTCTGCGTTTTTTTTCCATGTTTTTAAGTCCCTCTCGAGTATAAGTATAAGTGTTGACGACATTTATAAAAATATACGTGTTAAAGGTCCTTTCATAGCACGGTAGTTTGGTTTGTGAAACCTGGTCATTGTTTTACTTTTCCAGATCGTGACAGATTCTTCAACGTGACCTGTTGGCGACCGTGAAAGGTGTTTAAATACTTCCTCTACACTCAGTTATCTTTCGAAAATTGTGAATCACGAGTTTTTAGGGTAAACAAATCAATGTTCTTTTGTAGAAATCAGATTGCATTTTAACATTGCAGGAATTCACTTCCGCATTGCATAACATTTTTAATAATTGGAAGACTTGGTCAGCATGACACAGCATTTTGATTGGTTAATGAAAGACTTGACCTTTTAGGTCAAAGGACGTTGTTTCAGGTCAAATCTTGCTGAAAAACATAATGGCGAAAATTTGCCTTGCATGGATAGTTTTCGTACAATCGATAACATCCCACAGCAAAGATAATGATAAAGATCTTGCTTTTGACTTTTTTTCTACAGACCCCTAGCCATTTTTACACCGCAAATTCAGACTGTATGTAAATCATAATGTAATAAAATATGTGTATTTTTATAAACATGTTTATTTCCTCATTGTAAAAGTGTTGTGGAAATCAATGACCACCTGCATCACTTTTTTTTTGACAAAAAAACAATATCCCCTCCAAGCCCGGCATGGCGAATGAAAGAAGTAAGACGTTACAATGATCGGCTCCACAAATCATATTTTCTGAGGTGGTCCTAGATTATAAGCCCGTCCCTTACTTTTCTTCATTTTACATGTTGAAGCCCTTGGGCTTAGATCAGGAAGTATGGTATAAGAGTATCTTACCCTACAAAGGGTGGAATGTTATCAGCTGGAGTGGTTATATACTGTGCTGTATTAGGTGTGTAGTCAGATTCCATTCTCATACGTGCCTCCTCTACATCCTCGTGCATACGCAATGCATTAGATAGATTAGACATTGGTGCACACCAGTAATCGTTGCTTTCCATATTCATATCCTACATGAACAAAGCAAAAATCATGTCATGTTAGCACTGGGCATTTTATACTGTTCTGATGGGGTGTCAAGAAATGCATAATAGAAGTCATAATTCTAATGATATGTAACATTTACATATATACAGGGTCTATAACTTGTTGCAGCAGAATAAATACACATGATATTGATACCATGTTGTTGAATACCTGTAAAAATTGTATTTCATCTTTATTAAGTTCCCGAGATGAACTTTGTAAAATATTGTTGTTATACGAAGAATTTTCTTCACTTTGCATACATTCCATTTGTTCTGGTGCATGTGTGACAACATCTATTGGTTGTTTTTCTTGATAGGATTGCACTGGGTGATTGACCTCTTTGAAGGCAGTGCTTGAATAAGAGAGTCCGTGACATTGTCGTTTACTAACATTGCTCACTCCATCTTCTCCCTGAGAATAAATGCATCAAATTACTTTATTTTTAACATATCTTGATCATACTACATGTATACAAAAACACAAACACCCCGCCTGCTGGTATTGTTTTTTTTTTCCCCCATTCATTTCATCTCTCCATAGAAGCTTTTCAGCAGGTACAGTGTTATTTGTTTGTTGTATTAACAGTTGCAGTGTGTTGTGATTCTGATAAAAATTCTTGAAAAATATATGTCAATTGCGTAAAACTAAGGTAGGGTGAACACAAAATAGCTGTGACGACAAAATACATTATTTCGTGTTTTGCCTTCAGGACAGCACGTTCACCACTGTTTACGTAATTAACATGTATTTTTCAAGATTTTTTTTTATCAGAATCATAACAGTCAGCAAGTCAACAAAAATGTGTATTAAAGCAGAAACTATAGTTCTTTCTTTGAAATAGGCCATTTAGTTTGTGCTTCCTCAGAAATGATTCAAGAAAATCTTCCAGTATATGAAAAGCAGTGAAGCAAGTGTCGGACTTGTTTGGCTTAAGCGCCATGAACAGTACCGGTAGAACCAATATTGCAAATATTGTAGCAGCCTGTAACTGGGAGAGAGGTTGAAATCACATTATTTTGGCTTTATAAAATATTTGGTAGCAGCTTGCGAATCCATAACTGGGGGCAGCAATATTGCAATGTCACGCTGAAGACTGCCAACTTTTTTACCATCTTTCATCACAGCTATTGCATTTCTGTCATGAAAATCATTCTTCTGTCGTTGAGAAAAAACAAAAATCATCCTATTTCAATCCCACCAAGATATCCGTTGACTTGACCTTTATGATGAAACAATAGTAGTGACGTCATTCTTAGCCAATCAGTAAAGCAGATGCTTAAAGGTCAAAGATGACAGACTGTAAACAAAAGCATTGCGTGCCATTGTAGCAGAGTCATTGACGAAGATGGCAATGAACATACAAATAGAGATCGGAGAAGTATGAATTTTCGTAATTTTTACTGTGTAAATTTTGTACGACAGTTGATCATGACAGAAATAATTTTACGCAGTTTAACCTCTGACATTTTAGTTCATTTTGTGTTCATGAGTATTGGGCACGCTTGTCGGCGGGGAAATCCTAATTCAAATGATTCCTCATTATAAATTTATATTATTTTTGGTTTATTTGTCACAATATAATAGGCAATAAATAATTTTTGTTATACTTCTAATGTTGCATATTGTTCATTTATTTCCGTTGCATTTTTTCATTTGCCATTCATTTCCGTGTCGCAGTTCAATCTGCATGTTGTTAGTTTTCGCTTTTTTTTTGCAGGGCTTGTCCAAGACATAGTCCAGCCCCCATTTTTTGTCAATTTTCCATGTTCAGGACCCTGCGTGCTTACCTGAATAAACTAGGTAGATGTTTCTGATAGGATTGTTTCTTTAAACAGTTCATTCAACCACGGTTACTAAAAAAATACTGTTAGGAAACAAACCATGTTCTTTTCCGGGGGGGGGGGGTGTCACATGATGTGATTGGTCTTTTTCCGACGTTTTTAACATACATGAATAATTCATCAGGTAGAAAAAAAACATGAATTTCAGCATTTAAAGTTGTTAATACTAGCAAAAACGTGCTGTTTTATTTTAAATGCTTCATAAATGTTGCAAATGTAAAAAATATACAGGTCTGTGTTTGATAACTCGCTTTTTCCGGTATGAATAATTGCCGACTATGGCGGGCATCGTGGCGAGACTCTGCACTTTTCTCGTTTACGGCGGTGTTGCAATGAACAAGTTTCTCATATATTGTAAATGGGCACTGTACTGTACTATTGGCAATATTGCTCAAACAGTTTTCATACGTTTTTGCCATGACAAAGTTGCGTAATTAGTATGCATTTTTATTTATTCGGTGCTGAATGCACGCGAGAAAGTACGTGGTTAGTTGTTTACCCGAGGTCATATTATGGTCTTCCGGTGTAGGTCGTGTCAGACCTCTTTAAATATGGCGATGTAAACATTCACTTGTGCTACTGTTTTGATCCTGACCATCATAATGTAGACATTGCTGATACTTTCAGAATTAGTTATGTAGTTTAGCAATAGTTTTGTAGTCGGTTTATAGTAGTTTTTAGCCAATATAGTGATGCGTGTTTAGACAATTTCAAGTAGTGAAGCGATTTGGCCCGGCCGACTGTCGATATCCCCTGACGATGTCGACAAACATCATGTTATCACCACCGATGACACCGGTAAAAAAAGGGGGTCAAAAGTCTAAAAATCATCGTAGTTCGTCGAGTGGGAAGACTCCAGAGAAGCGGGGAAAATCAAGAGTACTGTTAACTTAGACATTAACAACATTGTACAGCAACATGCATCAACAGGATGTGGAACAGCTAATCGCGGCAAGGTGAGTACATGTACACACTCGCATGTTGTTATTTTTTTTATTCGTTTTCCCCCGGCTTATTTTCATTTTTTTAGTATGCAACTGCAATTTAAACAATATACTGGCGTTTTTAGTTGTATAAATGAAGAAATGAGATTGCTTAGATAAGCTGTGTTCCCAAAACAAAATTGCAAAAATAAAAATTGGTTTCTTTCTGAAGTTATTCAATAAATATTTGGAAAACAAATGCGACACTCAGGAATTAAAAAAATTGAGTTCAGAATATTACAATGTGTTGTGGATATTTAATATACAATAATAACTGCTTGTTGATTGATGTGCATTCTACATTAAATTGCTAAATATTATTTTGTCCCAACCACTGTAAGCGAGCTGCAAGTCTTAGGAAAATTTAAATACATTGTATTATTCTATAATATCTTCTTCTTTTTAATTTCATACGGTTGGAGCAAAGAAGAGGAAAAGAGACTCATTGAGTATATTTCATACTTTCGACCAGATATGGGGGTAGAGTGGGGGAAAGATTTGTCCGAACAGTTCTGGAAACATAAACATGAACATGTTGGAAACATGCCAGAGCCACGATTCTGTAAGTGTTTAACAACAATAACTAGCAGCAGTATTTGCAAAATGTGTTTAATTACAGAAAAGTTTAAAATTATATTTTTTTTTTTACCCAGCTATTAACTGGGCAAATACTATGCAGTGTTACTATCAGGGTTACTGTGAAGTTCATTCATATTGTTATGTGAATTTGGTAAACAATGAATTTGGATGTTTTCTTTATTTTACCAGGGAAGTCAGTTCAACGAAAGACAGCTCATTTGAAATCAAAGTTCATTAAACTTCATTTAGCTGAACAGCATTACAACATTGACCCATTTGAGGATCAAACTGATAATATAGATTCAAGACTCCATGATGTGATGAAGTCATTTGAAGACTTGAATTCATCAGAGTTACTGACAGCAGTTGATGTACTGTTCAAGATGATTGTAAAACAATTGGATTTGGAATGCCCTGCAGATTTTGTTCAGAAATCTCTGGAAGCCATGGCACATTTGTAGGACAAACAGAAGCCTAACTTGGTTTATTTAATGGCAAATGGTTTTGGAACGTATGGATTAGAGTCTACGGTATACTGGAGTATACATTACAATTCTTTAATGCCTCACACATAACCCAGGTATGTTTTTACAGTGCTCGTGTACTTGATGGACCCTACTATGTAACAACATATAATTTTCAATAACACAATGCGTAATATTAACATTTACTAATTATTAACATGTGACCTACCTGAAAATGAAGGTAACTAAAGTAGAAATAACTCCTCTAAATCAAATTTAATTAAAAATACAGATAAGATGTCCCCCTGACCTGCGTTCATTTACGCAGACCATATATGATGAGCTTGGAGGTAAGAGGTTGAATCTATTTACCGGCCCCACGTTCAAGACAAAGGAGAATACTGTGACAGTCAGAGACCCATTAATGGTGAGTATATGTCATGGTTTCTATTTAAATCATTTAATTGTCAATTGTAAAATAAAAAATAAAAAAAAAGAAGCATACATAGACTGTATAAAAACTACCGGATTTGGCTGATACCCCGCCCATCCTAAACCCCGCCCATGGGCGATGTTTCAAATAGTGGGCGATTTTTTGGTCCACACATTGCCTGACTGAACCAACAAACATTTTTACAGACCCCAATTTTCCCGTCCGACATCTTTTATCGAGCGCGCTATTTCAAATATGACGCTAAAATAATTCACTGTGAAGCCGAAAAGCATTAAAAACTTCAATAAAACCAATGCTGTAAACGAATTGTTGTTGCGTATTATTACACTTGAATAAAGTCTAAGCTTGAAAAGAATGTTATTTACGAAGTTTAAAATATCCCAGCCTTCCTGGTTCGAGCCTCTTGGTTGTTATCAGCACGGTTACTAAAAAAGAAGTAACCGTGTTATCAGTAATGTTTAATCTTTGTCTGTGTCGCATTCCAGACAAAATGTCGGTAAACAAGAAATGGACGAACTAAAATGTCTCCTGCGTTTCACATGCGACATGATTATTAAAAAACACAGAGTTAAGCGATCATGTACATTCTATAAAGCTAACCTTGTACACATAATCTTGTACTGACGTGTTTTTTCTCCAAAAAAGACGTTCTCTTTCAGTTAACCCCCAGTTAGCTCTTCGCGTTCATGGTATTTGTGAGAGTTGAAAGATTTTTTGAACACATGACAAGTAACTATATTGATTTGCGTCAAGCTGGGTGGCTCGAATTTAAATATCAGTGCGTGAACTCAAACGCGTGGTTATTAGAGTTCAGTTGAAATGTACGTGAATATTGCGATTGAAGTGCGCTGTCCAGAGTTTATTATAATAATAATAATAATCTTTATTGAAACCGTATCCCGGAGTGGGATCTTAGTTGAAAATA